CGCCGCGCGTATAAAGGAAAACTAAATTTTGGCTTGTTGATTTTGGGGATTTTGGTGGCAATAATGTAACAAAAATCAGTCAACATAGCAATACCACAACAGAAAAAGAATAACTGCTTGTCGATGAGACAATACAATGTAAATACTTTTCAATGAAGATATGCCTTGCTTTTTCCTCTAAGCAGTTTGTGTTTAATTGTTGTTGTGTCCTTTTCTTTCCTACTGATGTTTCAGGTTTTGGCTTTTACTCTCCGGCATGAACATAGCTACCTAGAAATTTCGGGAAACGATTGATAAAATTTTGTTGTTTCACAAATTAGCAGGATTTATCTCATAAAGCTTTTCAAATGTACATGATTAATTCAGACTTGTGTAGGTTAAATGGGCTTGATATAAATCTGTCGGTTCTTTAGTTGTTCCTGGCAGTCCGTCTTTACGCTCGTCTGTTTGAAATTTATAGCGTATCCGCTTTGAACTGAAGGAAATTAATACTGCAGTGAAGACATTTTACTAATAAAGAGACGATGTGCAGAACTCAGGTTTGGCCTGTCCAGATCATTATTGGCCATCGCCCCGGGCCACTTGATTTTCATAGGCTTTATATAGGAAAACACATATAAGCCTTATATAGTGAAACAATGCCCAGAGCTCAGATATTTGGCATGTAGCACTGCTTAGTAGACCTTAAAAAAAATTACATAAATTATGACTCCCATAAGCCCATTCCTTGCCGATCAGTTAGTTTATGTGGACTTATTAACATGTCCTAAAATCATTTACTCCTAAACTATAAAAGCCAGAACCATCAATAAATAGTCTTCTACAAAGGTTAAATACCCATGACCTTGATGTCAAAATTTGCCCTGCACTGGAGATGTCAAACTTTATGTAGATTGAGTTTAAAACAAAAAGGATCTTTTTGTGGAAAACTACAGTGCTTATTGCTATATTTGGCATGCTTAGTAGTCCTCTATTATATATTTATAAATCATGCACTAAGGGTCAAAATTCCCCCTACCTTGAGTTTATCTAGTACAATAAGGAAATTAAGATACAACATGTTGGTGAAGTTTCGTAAATTGGTCTCTTCTCTAATTGACAGATCATTTTTGGATTACTGAAACAAATTTTCATTCGGGCGTTCATAATTAGTAATTAAAAACAAAGGGACGATAGCAATAAATTGAGCATATTAAACGACTCATTGTGCAGTGTTTTAGGGTTTGTTTGAAACACTTTTACCATTTTAAAACAAGAGCCATGTTAACATAGCCATCCCTCGCCGAATGTGTTTGCTCATTGGAAGAATGTATATCTAGAAGAGCAGAATAATTGAATTGTAAGAGGTCTTTTAGTTATGAAAACTGATGACAGAAGTGATTACAGATATGAAACCTATGTGAATACTGATGGCTGAAAATAACAAAGGGCAATAACTGAAAAGATAATGCAGGGTAGAGTTACTATTCTTGTGTGCTACACTCTTCCTAAATGAGATCTATGTATCTATGAAGTTTCAAGTTGATACCTCTAACACTTTTTAAGATAAACTCCGGACAAAAAGAATGTAAAATAACAAAGGGCAATAACTCAAAAACTATGAAGGATAGAGTTATCATTCTTGCGCACAGCATTCTTTCTCAATTAGATAAATCCACGTATGAAGTTTTATGTTGCCATCTCAAAGACGTTTTGAGAAATGCTCCACTCAGGTGAAAAATTAAGTATGAAAAAAAACAAGGGCAATAACTGAAAAATTATGCAGGGTAGAGCTATTCTTGTGCACTGCGCTCCTACTCAAAATGATCTATCCACCTAGCAATGTAAAAGAAAGACATATTTTTATTTTGTTACAAGTATCTAACAAATTACAACGCATTCAAAGTTTAAAAGTAGCTTTGGCTTATAGAATTGTCAACAAATGCACAATCACAAATTACGCAGATGAATATCATTTTAATCAATGAAGATTGCTCGGCTATTTCCGTAAGGCTTCGGATTGTTGTGATCGGAATTAAACTAAATGAACATTTGGTATTTAGACTTTCTGAAAAATAAAAAAGGACGTTATGTTGACTTTAGCACAGGGACGAATTTAGGACAGCTGACGATTGATAATGAATTTCTACACCCGATAATTTAATCCACGTAAACAAAATGCTATTTTTAGCGATGTCGATTACCGAAGACTTCAGAGCGTATAACACAAATAAACCTGACTGTCGAGTAGTGGATATATACATGTCGGACTGTTTTGGCGAGAAAATTTTCGCTAAATTATTTCATCAGTGTTAAACAACAGATTTATCGTGAACAAAATACCTCGAAATTAATAAGGATTACAAACCCTAAATGGAAATCTTAAATTTAGAATTACTTGATTTTATTCAGGCTTTCTTGGTATGCGCTCGTCTGGGGTTCAAATCCAAATCGAGGCAACCGTTTTTTGTTGTTGTTGTTTTTTTTTTTTGTTTTTTTTTTTTTAAGGAAGCCGCCACGATATGCAAGGATAAAGTGTGGCTGTCATAAAAAATGAACATTAATGATCCAAACATTCCGTATGTATCAATGTAAAAAATCTAATCGCAGTCGCTGCATCTCGGTGCCCTGCATTATGAATTATAGTGTATAAATATAAACTTATACAAGGAAATACATACATATATACAGTATGGTTTATATTGCAAAGATAAGAAAATACCACCTAGATTGCAGTCATTTGATGTTCATTAAGCAATGGTAAACTTTTACATCGCTCTTTTTTAGATTTTATTTACAATGTAAAAGAGTTAATTACTTAGTGAACCAAAGTAACTAATTTGAAATTCCGTTGTTGTGAGGTATTGCAAATGAGATTCTTGTTTCAAAATGTCTCGGAAACCTACCTTGCAGCAATTCAAAATGGCGACTTTTTTGTAATGAAAAAAAAAGCAGATTCATAATGGCTGTGTCGAAGAGCCAATCAAAATTCTCCCATCTCATAAAAGCCGAGTTTTCTCATAAAGGCCGTACTTTTTGCATAATGGCCTTGTTTTATGTTCATAATTTTGTGGAGAGCCAGAGGCTCGCATAATATAATTTTATTCTACTCGTGCAATAAATTCAGTATTGAACTTACACTCATTCAATATCCTTTATTTACATCACGCCCAATGGACCTATAAGTCACCAAGTCACCTTTTATTGGCAAATATCAAAGATTCTTTATTAGTGTATGACAAATATTATTACTGCGCAAATGGAATAATAGCTATTGTAAAAGTAAATTATATTATTCTATACGAGTTTATATCTTGAGCAATAAATTTAGATCAATATTGTTCTTCCTCACGTTACTAGGCCATTTCATAAGTATAAATATGGTATTAAATTGGCATTACAATGCGTTTTAATTAGCGTTATTACGCCCTTTGGTTCGCGTTACTAAGCCTTTATTCGCGTTACTACGCCTACTGATTCGCGTTATAACGCCTTTTGTTTCGCGTTATAATGCGAATAAAGGCGTTACTACGCCTCTTGATTTGCGTTATAACGCCTTTTTCGCGTTATTTCGTCTTTTGATACGCGTAATTACGCCTTTTGATTTTCGTTATACCGCCTTTTTGCAATACTACGCCTTTTAATCACATAAACCGCGGCGCAGGAGTGTAATAAAGTCATTTAATAAAAAACGATATTACACTTGATGATATTACACTAGTTTACACTTTGACATGACGTCATTTTGCGTTATAAACATAGTTAGAGTTACACTACAGGCGCGTCAAAGAAAAATGACTCTTAATAACAGTTTACCGTTCTTATTTTATATATGTGATAGATTATAAGAATCTTACACCGGCTGCTGGTACATACCGGAATATCTAGCTCTCGGGTAACGGGTAACTGTTTACGGCGGTAACGCGGCTCCAATATTAATGTTTAATTTCTAAATAAACAATAACATGTGATCAAGTTGAGAAAATCAGAACCCCTAAAGAACGCCCAAAACGGCATAATTAAAAAATGTTGCAAAGTTAGTTTGATTTTTACGGCAAAGGTATTTGCACACCACCATCCACAACCCCTTCCCCTCTCCAGTTTAAGCAGACTTCAAGATTTCAACATAAAACTGGTGAAATTTTGAATTTAGAAACATCTGCAAACGTGTTCTTACGATGCTTATCATCGAAGTATTAAGACTTGTTTCTTATTTGATTTTGACCTGAAATCATTAATAGCATACTCGTTTTCACCAAATATACACGTTTGACAACATGTAACACCCCAGTTACACAGAGCCATCGGTGATTGATCGATAGCTTTTTTTAGCCAAATTATGGAGTGAACCGATGACAACGTATTTAACACCGATATCACCTATTGGTCACCTGTTTTCCACCTATCAACTGCTATTGGGGAAAGATAAGTGGAAGAAAATTACCGATTGGGATTTTTAAACATGTTTAAAATTCTCGATCGGTGAATTTTTTCTACAAATAACCGACAGCAACCTACGTCATGAGATATGCAAGTTCTTAATCACCGATATCGCCGATCGGACAACGATAACCAAATATGAATCACCGGCCATATCTGACGGAAAGTGTTCAACCACTGATGACTAGCTATCAAACACCGATTTATCAGCGTTACGCCCGATTTAGCTCCGATTTACAAACTATAAAAACCTATAGTATTTCAGCATTTTTATCATTGATCCAACCCCGTTTGAGTTTGCTTTCTGTTTACACAAAAAAAAAACAGAAATAAAATCACGCATGACAACCGATCATGACAGCGAGTAAATTTCAAATTAAATGACCGATTGGGGACCGACAGGCCTGAAAGGGTTAGACTGCATATTTATTCTTTATAAATAAGAATGCTTCAGTCGTCAAAGCTGCATTTAGCTTTCTTGTTTCACAAAGGACATCTTATATTCTCTATAACAGCAGGGTTCGTAATGGTTAAAAGTTGACGATAAAAATAAAATAAACAAAAAAGCAAATATAATTTCAGTTTTCCCAAAAGAGTGTTATTGATGATGACGACCCGTTCTACAGAGATAAACCGACTAAGGCAGACATGGTGCACTGTGTCATTTATATAGTGGATATTTGTTCATTAAGTACGATGGATAAGACGCTTAAAGAAAAGATAATAAGGTTGCAACAGTATGAGATAGATTCTGGTAAGTGCCTTTTGTACTGTAACACAAGAACATATACGAAAATATTCAATTTCAACGCCTTTCTTTAAAGCAATACAAACAATAACACCTTTTGTTGTTGTTTGTTTTTTGATGTTGTTTTTTAGCTCACCTGTCACAAAGTGACAGCGTGAGCTTTTGTGATCGCTTTTCGTCCGGCGTCTGTCCGTCCGTCCGTCGTCCGTAAACTTTTACTTTAATGACATCTCCTCATAAACCACTGAGCCAATTTCATCCAAACTTCACAGGAATGTTCCTTTGGTGGTCACCTTTGAAAATTGTTCAAAGAATTTAATTCCATGCAGAACTCTGCCATGGCAACCAAAAGAAAAATCTTTAAATATCTTCTTCTAAGAAACCAAAAGAGCTAGAGCTTAGATATTTGGCATGAACCATTTTCTAGTGAGTGTCTACCAAGTTTGTTCAAATAAAAGCCCTGGGGTCAAAATTGGCCCCGCCCCAGGGGGTAATTGATTTTCCCTGTATGCATATAGTAAAAACTTTAAAAATCTTCTTTTAAAGAACCCAAAGAGCTAGAGCTTAAATATTTAGCATGAAATGTCTTCTAATTGGTTTCTACCAAGTTTGTTCAAATAAAAGCCTTGGCCCGGCCCCAGGGGGCCATTGATTTTCCCTATATGCATATAATAAAAACTTAAAATCTTGTTTTAACGAACCGAAAGAGCTAGAGCTAAGATATTTAGCATGAAACATGTTCTATTGGATGTCTACCAAGTTTGTTCAAATATGAGCCTTGGGGTCAAAATTGGCCCCGCCCCGGGGGGTCATTGATTTTCCTTATGTGTGTATAGCAAAAACTTAAAAAAAATCTTTTTTGAAAAAAAAAACAAATAGCTAGAGTTTAGATACTACGCATGTAACAGCTTTCCGTGAGTGTCTACCAAGTTTGTTCAAATAAAAGCCCTGGGGTCAAAATTGGCCCCGCTCCTTATATGTGTATAACAAAAACTTAAAAAATCTTCTTTGAAAAAAAAACTCAAATAGCTAGAGTTAAGATATTAAGCACAAAGCATCTTCTAGTGAGTGTCTACAAAGTTTGTTCAAATAAAAGCCCTGAGGTCAAAATTGGCCCCATTTCGGGGGACATTGATTTTCCTTATATGTGTATAGCAAAAACTTAAAAATCTTCTTTGAAAAAACCCGAATAGCTAGAGTTTAGATATTAAGCATGAAACATTTTCTAGTAACAAAGATTGTTCAAATAAAAGCCCTGGGGTCACAACTGGCCCTGCCCCAGGTGTGCCATTGTTTTTATCTATATGTGTAAAGAAAAAACTTGAAAAAATCTATTTTAAAAAACCCAACGAGCTAGACCTTAGATGTTTAGCATGAAACATCTTCTAATGGGTATCTATCAAGTTTGTTCAAATAAAAGCCCTTGGGTTTAAACTGGCCCCGCTCCAGGGGCCTATATACAGGTGAGCGACTTCAGGGCCATCATGGCCCTCTTGTTTTTTGGAAGGGTGGGTTCTTTGTTTTTGTTTTTGTTGTTGTTATTGTTGTTTCTTTTTATGGTCTCGCTTGTTTTCTTTGATTTTTTTATGTTGTTGTTGTTGTTGTTTAGATACTTTGCTCTAGTTCATTGCAATTAATAATATAAACATTCAACAGTACATCAGATGATTTGCAGTGGCGGATTCAGGCCTGTGATTCAGGGCTGCAGCCAAGCCCCTCCCCCCAGCTCGGCCCAAAGATACGTTTACCATCTGGGCTGGAATATATTTTTGTCAGTTTTAAAATTTATTATACCCCCGAAACAAAGTTTGGGGGTGTATATAGGAGTCACTCGGTGGTCGGTCGGTCCAGCCGTCCGTTGCATTTTCCTTGTCTGGAGCATAACTTGAAAACTACTGGTTGGAATTCAATACAACTTCATACAATGATCAAGCACATTGAGAGGAAGTGCACAAGAACCATAACTATATCTTGACTAATTGCCCTTTGTTATTTTTCCTTGTCCGGGGCATAACTTGAAAACTACTGGTTGGAATTCAAAACAACTTCATTCAATGGTCAAGCACAATAAGGGAAAGTGCAGTGCACAAGAACCATAACTCTATCTAAAGTAATTACAGAGTAATTGCACTTTGTTGCTTTTCCATAGCTTTCTTTTGTCCGAACCATAATTTGAAGACTAATGGTTGGAATTTAATATAACTTCATACAATGGTCAAACACATTGAGAGGAAGTGCAGTGCGGAAGAACCATAACTCCATTTTGACTAATTACAGAGTTTTTTCCCTTTGTTACTTTTCCTTGTCCGGAGCATAACTTGAAAACTACTGGTTGGAATTCAATACAACTTCATACAATGATCAAGCACACAATTAGAGGAAGTGCAGTGCACAAGAACTATAACTCTGTCCAGAGTAATTATAGATGTTAATTTTCCATTGCTTTTTTCTTGTCCAGAGCATAACTTGAAAATACTAGTTGGAATTCAATACAATTTCATACAATGGTCGAGAATATTGAGAGGAGGCGCAGTGCACAGAAACCATAACTCTTTCTTGACTCATTTAAAGAATGTTTGCCCTTTGTTACTTTTAATTGTCCAGTGCATAACTTGAAAATCAATGGTTGGAATTCAATGAAACTTCATACAATGGTCAAGGGCAGTGAGATGAAGTGCAATGCACAAAAACCATAACTCTATTTAGACAAATTACAGTTATTGCCCTTTGTTACCTTTTTTGTCCAGTGCATAACTTTAAAACTTGTAGTTGGAATTCAATACAACTTCATACAATGGTCAAGCGCAATGAAAGGAAGTACATTGTAAAATAACCATAACTCCGTCTTCAGTATTTGTAGAGTTATTGCCTTTTGTTCCTTTTCCTTGTCCGGTGCATAACTTAAAAACTAAAGTTTAGAATTCAATGCAATTTCATACAATGGTCAAGCGCAATAAGAGAAAATGCAGTGCTCAAGAAGCGTAACTCTTTCCAGACTTATTACAGAGTTATTCAATAAAACTTAATGGTCAGCTACATTAAAAGGAAATGCAACATACAAGAACCACAACAATCTTTAATTGCCCACAACCATAACTCTATTTCAATTCTTTTGCAAGGTATTCTGTTACTAGTAACTTCCTCATTTCCAAAGCAGTATTGCGGGGGTATTAATCACATAAAGTGATATTTCTAACTCCCTTATCAAAACATCCAGTTGTTAATCTCCTGCCTAAGGGCTTGGCAGAGATCTTTATCTATTAACATCCTTGAAAGACACTGCAAAAACTAACCTATACAAAATACAATATGATATTAAATTATCAAGAAGGTACTATAAACAGCACTATGAAGTCAAGGAAATGACACCATTTTCAACCTCATATTTTAAAATTTTCTCAGTCTATGGCAGGGGACTACCCTCCCAAGCCCACCCCAATCACATAATTTTCTTCATTCAAGACTTAATTATGCACCCTTCGAAAAATAGGGGGTATATTGTTTTGCTAATGTCGGTCTGTCTGTCTGTCGGTCTGTCGGTCTGTCGGTCCGTCGTCTATCCGTGGGTAGACCACATGGTTTCCGCTGATTATCTTGAAAACTATTCATCACAAAGTCTTCATATTTCACATAGTGGTTGGTCATAACTAGTAGATGACCCCTTTTAATTTTGGGGTTACTAGGTCAAAGGTCATGGTCACAGGGGCCTTAAATGTCAGAATGGTTTCCACTGATTATCTTGAAAAGAATTCATCACAAAGTCTACATATTTCACGTAGTGATTGATCATAGAAAATAAATGACCTCTATTGATTTTGGGGTCACTAGGTCAAAGGTCAAGGTCACAGGGGCCTTAAATGTTAATATGGTTTCTGCTGATTATCTTGAAAAGTATTCATCACAAAGTCTTCATATTTCACTAGGGTGATTGGTCACAACCAGTTAATGACCCCTATTGATTTTGGGGTCACTAGGTCAAAGGTCAAGGTCACAGGGGTCTTAAATGTCAGAATGGTTTCCACTGATTATCTTAAAAACTATTCATCCCAAAGTCTTCATACTTCACGTATTGATTGGTTATAACTAGCAAATGACCCCTAAAATTTTGGGTCACTAGGTCAAAGGTCAAGGTCACAATGGCCTTAAATGTCAAAATGGTTTCTGCTGATTATCTTGAAAAGTATTGATCACAAAGTCTTCATCTTTCACATATAGATTGGTCATAACTAGTATATGACCCCTATAGATTTTGGGGTCACTAGGTCAAAGGTCAAGGTCACAGGGGCATTGAATGTTAATATGATTTCCGTTTATTATCTTGGTTACTATTTTTCACGAAGTCTTCATATTTCACATATAGATTGGTCATAACTATTAGATGACCCCTATTGATTTTAGGGTCACTAGGTCAAAGGTCAAGGTCACAATGGCCTTAAAAGTCTGAATGGTTTCCGCTGATTTATCATGAAATGTATTCATCGCAAAGTCTACATATTTCACATACTGATTGGTCATAACTAGTAGATGATCCTTATTTATTTTGGGGTCACTAGGCCAAAGATCAAGGTCACAGAGGCCTTGAATGTAAATATGATTTCCGCTTATTATCTTGGTTACTATTTGTCAGAAAGTCTTCATATTTCACATATTGATTAGTCATAACTAGTAGATGACCCCTATTTATTTTGGGGTCAACAGGTCAAAGGTCAAGGTCACAGGGTCTTTGAATGGTAGAGGTTTTCAGCTCATTATCTTGAAAGATAATTATGACAAAGTCTTCATATTTCACATTGATTGGTCATAACCAACAGATGGTCCGTATTGCTTTTGGGGTCTCTAGATCACAGAGGCCATAAATTTGAGAATAGTTTCCGCTTATTATCTTGAAAACTATTCATCACAAAGTCTTCATATTTCTAATATTGATTGGTCACTAGTAAGTGAGCCCTCTATATTTTGTGGTCACTAGGTCAAAGGTCAAGGTCACAGGGGCCTGAAATGTCTCATGATCTTGACAACTATTCATCGCAAAGTCTTCATTATTTTTCCTTTTTTTTCCATAATTGAATACTTCAATGTACCAATTTATGGCAAGTTAGCAATAATGTGAGTCAAGAGCTGCCACTCATAAGATGAGTTATAAAAGCAATAATAATTTTTTGTCACATTACCAAGATGCTGACCCAATCTTCAAACATGCGCAATTTTTGCCTGTTGCATTGTGGTGTTGTTGTTGTTGTTGTTGTTTTGTTGTTTTTGTCAAAATCTTCCACCTATGTCACCCCCCCCCCCCCCAAGAAAACCTTGTTCTGTACCCGCCCCTAGGCATGCATGTTTTTAAGATATTAATCTTCAAAATGATAAAAGACGAAAAGTGCTTAAACTTAAAATGAAATACAATTTTGTTTTCCTATAAATTTACATGTATACGTGACATTTCCTAAAACATTTCAAGATATAGGTACTCATGTTTACTTTTCCAGATATACAGAGAGTTTTAATACTTACGAAATGCGATGAGTTGTGCGACTCTGTCAAGAATGACGTGACAAACATTTACAAAAGTAAAAAGGTATGCGACGAAGCAGAAAATGCAAGACACATATTTGGTATTGCTCGAGGAAATACACATCCAGTCGTAAACTATGGAGAACGTGGATCGGAAATAAATCCAGCAATGAATGTCCCAGTTCTACTTGCGCTTAAGCAGTGTGTGGATTTCTCGAACGAATACATTGAACAACAAATGAAATATGGTTCTCCTATGAAGTATGATGCTCCTATGGAGAATGATGCTCCTATGAAGAATGATGTCCCTATGTAGAATGATGCTCCTATAAAGATTGATGCTTCTAAATAAGAAGAGCGTGCGGTATTTTTTATTTGATTTTTTGTAATTTTTTTAAGTAATGTATCTGAGAAAAATGGTCTTTCGGAATCTTGAACTCAAATGCGTTTAAGCTAATGATGGTAGATGTTTATCATTTTCTGTGACTGTTTTGCTTTTTTCGCTTACGAATGATGTCTGCCTGTTAAGATTTTTTTTACACTTCAAAAATAGTTGCAAACTCTATTTTGATATCTTTTCAGCCCGAAACTTTAATGTTATTTTTCACTTTTAAAGACTCTGTCAAAGAAAAAAACAGAGATAAAATGGTTAATTAAAGAAAGAAAGAAAGAAAGAAAGAAAGAAAGAAAAAAAAAAAAAAAGAAAGAAAGAAAGAAAGAAAGAAAGAAAGAAAAGAAAAGAAAAGATAGGGAGTGTGTGATAGAGAGAGAGAGAGAGATATATATATTTGAAAACTGACATACAAAAAGTACCGAAATTACGAACCTATGTTACCCTTGAGGATAATTTTATAACAGAAAAATATGTACAGTTAAATTTGAATAAAAATTAAAGATCAATGTTATTTCAGTTTAGGTGTGGTATTCTCCCGTTAAGGATTAAAACTGGACGTTATGTCAGTGAAACACCAGAGCAAAGAATTTGTTTGTGTTGTACCGATAATAAAATAGAAGATGAAAAACACTTTTTGTTCCAATGTTCTTTTACAACAACATCAGAGTAGACATTTTAGTGAACAATTTATGAATGCAGATTTTATGAACATGAACGATGATATGAAAGGAAATATCTTGGTGTAAGTTTTCCACGAAAAGTAGCTAATACATTGTTAATGCTTATCTAAAAAGAAAGAAATCTTTGTTTAATCGTTGAAATATTTATCCTGCAATATTGATGATGTGTACAATATAATAATTTCATGTGAACTATTCATAATGCAGATATGTTTCAGGTAACTTATAGGTCTATTGTGCCGGGTGTTATGTAAATTAATTAATTTCGTTATTTGTAAACTGTCATATACATGTCACTATAAAACAATATTTACTTACTTACTTACTTACTTACTTACTTACTTACTTACTTACTTACTTACTTACTTACTTACTTACTTACTTACTTACTTACTTACTTACTTACTTACTTACTTACTTACTTACTTACTTACTTACTTACCTTACCTTACCTTACCTTACCTTACCTTACCTTACCTTACCTTACCTTACCTTACCTTACCTTACCTTACCTTACCTTACCTTACCTTACCTTACCTTACCTTACCTTACCTTACCTTACCTTACCTTACCTTACCTTACCTTACCTTACCTTACCTTACCTTACCTTACCTTACCTTACCTTACCTTACCTTACCTTACCTTACCTTACCTTACCTTACCTTACCTTACCTTACCTTACCTTACCTTACCTTACCTTACCTTACCTTACCTTACCTTACCTTACCTTACCTTACCTTACCTTACCTTACCTTACCTTACCTTACCTTACCTTACCTTACCTTACCTTACCTTACCTTACCTTACCTTACCTTACCTAACCTTACCTTACCTTACCTTACCTTACCTTACCTTACCTTACCTTACCTTACCTTACCTTACCTTACCTTACCTTACCTTACCTTACCTTACCTTACCTTACCTTACCTTACCTTACCTTACCTTACCTTACCTTACCTTACCTTACCTTACCTTACCTTACCTTACCTTACCTTACCTTACCTTACCTTACCTTACCTTACCTTACCTTACCTTACCTTACTTACCTTACCTTACCTTACCTTACCTTACCTTACCTTACCTTACCTTACCTTACCTTACCTTACCTTACCTTACTTTACTTTACTTTACTTTACTTTACTTTACTTTACTTTACTTTCTTTCTTTCTTACTTACTGACTCACTCGCTCGCTCGCTTTCTTGCTTGCTTACTTGCTTGCTTACTTACTTACTTATAATTGTTCGCGTGAGAAAATGTTCTATGTGATTTAAATGTTCTATGGACTGTTTAAAACGATGGTAAATCATTCAACACCAATGATTGTGATTAATAATATGATATATAGATGCGTGTTTTGGAAGAAGCTCAAATTGTTATAGTTATACAAATTGAAGAAACATAAATAAAAAGAAAATAAAAAAGCTATAGCGTAAGATGTTAAGCAGACAACCGGAGCAGCCGGAACACATGAGTGTCAATTAGTAGGTATAATTGGTAGTTGGATTCCAAACTATTTAACGGCAAGTAGTTGGTAATTAATCCACTATCTCCAGAAGGAGGGGAACTATTTGGTTATTGGTGCGAATCCCCAACAACCTACCAGCAGGTAGTTGGTAATTAGAATTTAGCATGTTTTGCCATCGAATAAGAAAGTTCTTTTCCGGGGTAAATATAACGGATATAACGCAAGATATATATGTTCTTCAACATTGAAACACCTTGTTTCCTTATGTCAGCCAGGGGTCTTAGTTGATTTTTCGCGATATTCCAAAACTACCCACTAGAATGTAGTTGCATCATAAGACGACTCAGCAGAGAAGCGGATGATTGCTGCACCAAGTATATTTATGTCTCTGTTGTTTGCAGCATGCATTTTCAATGTCACTGGTATGAGATTCTTTTCAGTCATACCCAAGCGATTCACAACTTGTATTCCAGTAATTCGGGTATTGCATATATTTCCTAAAAAAAATGTTACGCTTATATAACGCGATATGTGTTTTCTATAATATAGTAACAACCTCTTCACAAAATATCGACCAGGGAATCAGTTGGTTATTCGCGTGAATCCCCAACTACCAACCAGAAGGTAGTTGGTAATTTGAACTTGTTTTTCCCTCCAAATAGAAAGTTATTTGAGGTTAATTACATAAGCTTCTTGCCTTGTTAATAAAATGATTAAAGGTATTGAAGTATTACTAGCACTTTGGATAATTACGATATTTATCCATTTTCACTTAAATTTATTGAGGTCAATATCACATGTGTACATGTACATGTATAATTTTAGAAATCATAACATTAGAGGTGAAAGTTAAATAGATACTGAATGTCATGCTTAATACTTAGCAAATTGGGATGTTTTAATTAAGCACGCATAATTGTATATATCTTCACTGCTTTGTTATGAAATACGAGTATCTGTTTTTCTCTATTTTTATGTTATAAATTTCCTTATTTTCTTGTCCATTTTGTCATATTTCCGATTTAGTTCTATCTATAATTTCAACTCGAGATTAGATTGATAAATGTTTTCTGAGGCAAAGTTGATGAAAATATTATGTGTTATTGATTGAATTGAATAGTATATTTGTTCTAATAATGAAATATTATGACATATTCAATTTCTACTGTAACTTTGAACCACCTCATTTGCATACCAAAATATCGTATTTGTCTCTGTTCTTTCTGTAGTAAAGTCGTAGAATTTTGGTCTTTTTAAAATATTTGATGAAATTTAATTAAACTTTCATGCATTGATAAATTTCTTACTGAAAAGCTATCTTGAAATTTATTATTTAAACTTGTTTAATTATGGAGAGAATAGGAGAATTGTGCCCCTATGTAGAATGATGCTCCTATAAAGATTGATGCTTCTAAATAAGAAGAGCGTGTGGTATTTATTATTTGATTTTTTTGTAATTTCTTAAGTAATGTATCTGAAAAAAAATTGTCTTTCGGAATCTTGAACTCAAATGCGTTTAAGCTAATGATGGTAGATGTTTATCATTATCTGTGACTGTTTTGCTTTTATCGCTTACGAATGATTTCTGCCTTTTCAGATTTTTTTACACTTCAAAAATAGTTGCAAACTCTATTTGATACCTTTTCAGCCCGAAACTTTTATGTTATTTTTCAATTTGGAAGACTCTATCAAAGAAAAACAGTGATGAAATGGTTAATTAAAGAAATAAAGAAAGAAAGAAAGAAAGAAAGAAAGAAAGAAAGAAAGAAAGAAAGAAAGAAAGAAAGAAAGAAAGAAAAGAAAAGAAAAGAAAAGATAGAGAGAGAGAGGGAGAGAGAGGGAGAGAGAGAGAGAGAGAGAGAGATGAATGATCAGAATTTTTGGTGACACGTTTAAATGCAATTATCATTTTGTTTCCCTATTACATTTTCAAGGTGTTGATGAGTTCAACAGTACAACAGTGGAAAATTCGATCAAGGAACATGAAATTTTTTATCAAAAGAAGTTAATCATTTACATGTGATTATCACACGTTTATTTCGTTACTTCAAACACAACATAAATAAAATCAACTCTACACAAAATAATTCCTTTTATTTTAAACTTTTTTTCGCGCGGTGAATATAATATTATACATAAAAGATTTTGTTAAAATCAGGATAACTCAATATTATACGGATATTTGAAAACTGACATACAAAAAGTACCGAAATTACGAACCTATGTTACCCTTGAGGATTATTTTATAACAGAAAAATGTGTACAGTTAAATTTGAATAAAAAATAAAGATCAATGTTATTTCAGTTTAGGTGTGGTATTCTCCCGTTAAGGATTAAAACTGGACGTTATGTCAGTGAAACACCAGAGCAAAGAATTTGTTTGTGTTGTACCGATAATAAAATAGAAGATGAAAAACACTTTTTGTTCCAATGTCCTTTTACAACAACATCAGAGTAGACATTTTAGTGAGCAATTTATGAATGCAGATTTTATGAACATGAACGATGATATGAAAGGAAATATCTTGTTGTAAGTTTTCCACGAAAAGTAGCTAATACATTGTTAATGCTTATCTAAAAAGAAAGAAATCTTTGTTTAATCGTTGAAATATTTATCCTGCAATATTGATGTGTACAGTATAATAATTTCATGTGAACTATTTATAATGTATATATGTTTCAGGTGACTTATTGGTCCATTGGGCCGGGTGTCATGTTAAATTATTTAATTTCGTTATTTGTAAACTGTCATACACATGTCACTATAATAAAATACTTACTTACTTACTTACTTACATACTTACTTACTTACTTACTTACTTACTTACTTTCTTACTTACTTACTTACTTACTTACTTACTTACTTACTTACTTACTTACTCGCTCGCTCGCTCGCTTTCTTGCTTGCTTACTTGCTTGCTTACTTACTTACTTATAATTGTTCGCGTGAGAAAATGTTCTATGTGATTTAAATGTTCTATGGACTGTTTAAAACGATGGTAAATCATTCAACACCAATGATTGTGATTAATAATATGATATA